CAGACTGAAGCATACCTCAGCCTGAAATAGGACCTCACAAGTGGCGCCCGAGCAGGGACTTTTTGGTGACTTTAAGGAGACAAACACCTTAATACGGAGCTTTGTGGAGTAAAGACCCACAGCCACTGAAAGAGACTAGGCTAGCAAGGATCAATAACCGTCAAGCCCAAAACGCAAAATCCAGTCGCGAGCAAAAGTGCTACAAGCAGAAATACCACAAACAACACGTAAGTCAGTGCTACTAACCGCCGAAACACACCATGGAAGCCCACGGAGCCGGTCAACCCGACGAATTTTACCCGGAGGGACTCCATACCAATCCAGGAGTCACAACCGGCTGGATCTACAAACTCCGGCGGGACGAGCTGGAAACCCTGGCCGAGGAATTCGGATTCGGAAACGACGGAACAGTCGAGGAACGACGAAAGAGATTCGCCACACTAGTCGCCGGAACACTCTCGCAGGATGCCTGGGTTCGATTGGCCGACCTCGAACGGCAATACGCCAGACCAGCAGGACGCTCCAAGTCGCCCATGCCCACCACTCCTGGGCCGTCGGACCAGCGGAAAACCGACCCAAAAGCCGGGTTACAAGTCCCCACAGCGGCCGAATACAGCACACCCTGCCCACCACGCATCGTAACGCCAGCCGATCTGCCCAGACCTCCAGTTACGGAGACCAGCCGCTCGCCCATCCAGAGGATCGTGCCAGCCATGGACTCTTCCACCGCCCACATCGCGGAACAGATTCGGAAATGGGGGATCAGGTTCGACGGACAGGACGATCCACTAGCGTTTCTGGAACTACTCGAGGAACGTGCTCTCTCATATGGGGTGGACACAAATCAGCTACCTCGGGCCATGACAGAGCTTCTCACCGATCGGGCCAGTCGCTGGTACCGCACCAGCCAACTACAAGGCAGCTCATGGGCATATTTCCGCCAAGAATTCTTGACTTTCTTCTTGCCGCCACGGTATTTTGAACAATTGGAAGACCAGGTCCGAGCCCGCAAGCAAGCGGTAGGAGAATTGTTCAAGGATTACCTCATCGAGATACGTCTACTCATGCACCACGCCAGGTACGACGCAGCCAAGGAACTGAACAGGATCTACGATAACGCCCTGCAAGCATACCAGATGTACGTGCGGCGACACGAACTACAAAGCTTGGCACAGCTTACAATGTTGGCCACCGAGTTCGAGAGCATCCAAGAGCGTACCATCCAGCCCACTTTCGCACCGCCACGAAGCGCCCCAAGATACCCAAGGCCGGCCACCGAGCCAAGGAACGGCGGCCCACCCCGGCCACCATTTCGGCAACCCCACTGGGAGGCGGCAGACTCGCCAAGGAGGCAGCAAGCCCCCTCCAGCAGCCAGACAACGCCCGAGGTGGCGCACCGCATGATCACCACCCCTATCGCCAACCCACGCGCAGCCTGTCGCCGGTGTGGTGAAGCGGGGCATGTGGAATACGACTGCCAGAACCCTTCGATCCTATTTTGCTGGGAATGTGGCAAGCGCGGCGTACGGACCTTCAAATGCTGCCGCCAGAACACGTCGGGAAACGACACGCGTCCCCAGCTGACACGGGATCAGCCGGGAACGACGCCTTTCCCGAACCGCGACTAAAAAACTTGCTACATGTGAACAACGGTCGGATAGTGGCAACGGTAACCATAGGAGGACACGTAACGGAGGCTACCCTAGACACCGGGGCCTCCAAAAGCTTTATAAAGCCCATCAAGCTGGACCAACGAGAGGTACAAATACCGCTCCTAGTTTTGCCTAACATGTTGAAGCAAGTCATTGTCGGCATGGATTTCCTATGCGCCATCGAAGCCACGATCAAATGCGGCAGCACACAACTGCAACTAAGCAATCAGTCGGCCACGCCAACCGCACCCGAAGATCCGACCAATCACATACCAGACACCGCGCCCAGAAGCCAGAAACGTACGCCAACCACAACGCCACCACGTACCCAACCTACCCCAACGCTCACGAAACCCAATAATGCAACGCAGTACTCGACACCCAAACCAATGACAACGAAAACGAAACGCCGGCCCACAACGGAGAACACGAATCCGAGGCCAACACAAGCCAACCATAATCAAGCAATCGGGAAAACGAGTCCCACGGTCACTACGGAGCAACCGCGTCCTAGGCCAACCACAGGGGACACACACCCCAAACAAACCACGTGGATCTCACACACGAGACAAACACACTTGAACCCGGCGCTCGACACAGGAAGCCCAGGTCCAAGACAAGCAACAGAGCAAGCACGCAGAGAAACCGCATCGGAAGCAGAGAACGCACGGACACCCTCAAAACCGACCGCCAGCAGCGAAAAAGGACAACGGCCACCACCATCCGACAGCCCAGCCACACGGGAAACAGCCACGCTAACCCCACGCTGGACGGGGCCCATAATCGAACTGATCTCCACAGAGCCCCTCAACGAGGGCCCGGAAACCAGCACGATACCACCACGATGCCCAGACAGCCGTCCGGTCCTCCCCACGGCCGACGCCACACCGATCCTCGCCAACACAATGGAGTACCTTCCGCGTACTGACATGATTCCTAGCGCCATGCAACGAGCCATGCCTAGAGCCATGTCCGAGATCTTCGTCGCCCACGCCAGTCGTCGCTGCGACACAAGAGGCATCACAGAGACTCACCTGTTCATGCGCCAAACGACCACCAGTACCACCCACGTATTACACCAGAGATATAAAACATATCTACCCACGGTCGACACCACACACATCGTCGCCCACATAAGCGACTACCAACGGAGGATCGAACCGCCTAGCGCCTTCGATACAACCCTCTTACCCGAAGACCCCAGCCAGCCAACTGACTCCGAAACCGCCGATCCGACCGAACATGAGCCCGAACCAGTCCCGGAGCCGTGGCCGCCAGACTTGGCCCCGCAGATCCAGGCATTTCTAGATGAAGAGCTACCAAAATTTGATGGCCTCCACGGGACATCGGATATCGCCAAGCACACTATTGTCATGCGGGATAGCCGGCCCATAAAACAGCGGTACTATCCAAAGAATCCAGCGATGATGCGAATAATCAATGAGCAAGTAGACCAATTGATTTCGGAAGGCCTCATCGAGCCCTCCCGGAGCCCCCACAGCGCCCCAATTGTACTCGTCTGTAAAAAGAATGGGAAATGGCGCATGTGCGTGGACTACCGGCAACTCAACACGCACTCCATCCCCGACGCATACCCGCTGCCGAGGATCAACTATATTCTGGAACAGTTACAAAACGCGCGGTTCATCACCACCCTCGACCTGAAAAACGGATACTGGCAGATCCCCATGGCCGACGGAAGTAGAGAAGCAACAGCTTTCACCGTACCGGGCCGGGGCCTCTACCAATGGAAGGTTATGCCCTTTGGACTGCACTCGGCACCGGCAACATTTCAGCGGGCTCTCGACACCGTGATTGGTACAGACATGGAGCCATATGCATTCGCGTACCTAGATGACATTGTCATCGTGGGGCGAGATTTCAACGAGCATCTGCGCAACTTGAAAGTGGTTTTGTCCCGACTCCGGGAAGCGAACCTAAGGATAAATGCGGAAAAATGCGCGTTCTTTCAAACCCAAATCAGGTATCCCGGCCATATCATCAGCAATGAGGGAATCCACACCGACCCCGACAAAATTGCCGCCGTCAAAGAACTCCGACCGCCCACCAACCTAAAAGAGCTTCGTCAATGCATCGGGATGGCGTCCTGGTACCGAAGATTTGTACCAAACTTCGCGACGGTCGTCCAACCGATGTCTCGCCTACTCAAGAAGGACCAACCATGGGTATGGTCCGAAGCACAACGGGCTGCTTATGACCAACTGAAGACACTTCTCACGACCGCCCCCGTCCTTGCGTGCCCCGATTTCAACGTCAAGTTCTCGCTGCAAACAGATGCGAGCAATCTAGGAGTTGGCGCAGTTCTCACCCAAGAAATCGAAGGCAAAGAACGAGTCATAGCATATGTCAGCCGACGACTGAACCAGGCGGAAGAAAACTACTCCGCTACTGACAAGGAGTGCCTAGCGGTCATTTGGGCCATTCGAAAACTACGCTGCTACCTGGAAGGGTACCGATTCGACGTAATCACCGATCATCTCGCGATAAAATGGTTAAATACGCTTGACAGCCCATACGGTAGAGTGGCGAGATGGGCCCTCGAACTTCAGCAATACCAATATGACGTGCATTATCGAGCGGGAAAACAGAACGTAGTCGCAGATGCACTATCCAGGCAGCCATTAGGAACACTCGCACGGATCGAAGAGGAGAAGACAGCCTGCCCCTGGCTCCAGCACCGGATAAAACAAGTCCAGAACGAGCCTCAGAAATACCCCGACTACACCTATGCTAACGGGGAACTATATCGACATCTGGGCCATGGCGCCGACGACGACGACCATATAGCATGGAAACTCTGCGTAGCAAAAGATCAACGAGCCAGAATACTTCACGAATGCCACGACCAACCCACAGCCGGCCACCTAGGGGTCAGGAAAACCATCACCCGAATATCCCAACGGTACTATTGGCCAGGTTTCTACCGAGACGTGAGGAAATATGTCCGTGGCTGCGTAAGCTGCCAGAAGTTCAAAGCTCAACAACGCAAGCCGGTGGGCCAGATGCTCACTCGCAAAGCCGAAGAGCCATTCGCCACACTATGCGCTGACTTCGACAACGGCGCGCAATTTACAAGTCGATCGTTTCGGTCATTTCTACAGACAGCAGGAGTAGAACTGCAACATACCGCACCATACTGCCCCCAGGAAAATCCAACGGAACGGGCAAATCGGACGGTCAAGACCATGATTGCCCAATTCGTAGGGGATCGTCAAAATACCTGGGATGAGCTACTACCGGAAATATCCCTCGCAATAAATTCCAGCGTCTCGGAGACAACGGGATTCAGCCCAGCTTTCCTACTATACGGGAGGGAGCCACGCTTACCTGGAGCCCTGTATGATGAAGTTACACCTGGCACAGGAAGCCCGCCAGACACCGCGCTCCAGAAAACAGCGCGACTCAAGGATGTATTCGCGATAGTGAAAAATAACATCCAGCGAGCCAGCCACGAGCAGGCAAGACACTATAATCTCCGTCGAAGACAATGGCACCCTACGGTGGGCACATTGGTACTGATGCGACAACATCATCTGTCCAACGCCGTTGACGGCTTCGCTGCAAAACTGGCACCGAAATATGACGGGCCCTACAAAGTTCGAGGATTTAGGTCAGCCAACATCATAAAAATACAACACCTCAGCACCCGGAAGCAGAAAATCGCTAACATCAATGATCTGAAAGAATACCACGAACACGACGCGGGAGAAACTGCGAACGAAGCAGACACCACGGCTGAACTATAAACAAACAGAGCGGTAAGTGGGGCATGACCGGTCACAAAATATGGCTGACGGAGCACAAACGATCGGCGGACCCACAACGAAAACCGACCCCTAAAATGCAAGCTCCGCACGCCACGCGCGGACAAACCATCCCGGAAGAAAAAAAATGACCTAAAAACCACCGCGCAAGATACACTATATATATAGCTGGACCATGACGATAGCCAAACAACACATCTTAACTAACCACCGACGCACCGGTCAACAAGCCAACGCCCCACCAAGTATTCACCCAAAGAGCTAACACCACGATGTCACCACTCCTGATAGTCCTCATCCTCACCGCCACCACACAGGCCACGATAAAGGTTAACAACTACACCCACGCCAACTATGTGCCCATGGTGGACGGAGACGCCGTCCTGTGGGAGAAATAGGGATACCTTCACCATATAACCAACGTAACCTCCTACGAGGCATATTTGGCACAGGCGGAGGAGTCTGCCGCATTATTCCCTGGGAGCCGAATCGCCACCATCCTGGCTGTCGACCTGGAGCACGTCAGGACCCTCGTGGGAACGTTAAAAACCCACCACCGACGAGCCAGGAGTCTCAACATCCTCGGAAGCGCGCTAAAGGTCGTCGCCGGAACCCAGGACTTTGACGACTGGGAGCAAATTCGATTCAATGACTGGCTACATGAACAGCCTGGTAAAAGGAGAGGACACCGAACGACTACAGCTGACGGAGGCGATACTGGTAAAGAACCGCGTCATCCTCAACGACCTACAGAACCTGATTCTGGGTCTGACACTGGCCAAAATGAACGTCATCAGCCCGACGCTACTGGACGGAGCCGACCTCCAAGAATGTGAGGAACAACAACTGACAGATATCAGGCTGGTCGATCTACTGGGAGTTTCCTGCATTAGCGTATTCCAGAGCCCTGATTTGTTAACTTTCCTCATCAAATTCCCCCAACCTAAGCGGATCTGCCGGAGGATGACGATCTTCCCCGTGCAACACCAGCACAAGATCTTGGATTTCAACAAAGGGAACGCCGTAGCGGAATGCGGAAGCCAAGTCGTCAGCTTGGGGACATGCGAAACCACCATCGGCGTCACGTTCTGCAAAGAACGACGGGAACCCACCTGCGCCCAACAGCTAGTGGCCGGAACAACCGCCCACTGCACCACCTTACCCGGGCACCTGGACGCGATCACCGTCGTGGATCATGGCACGCTCATCATCAATGACGCCTTCGTGACCATGGGGAACACAGCAGGCGAAATACAAACCATCTCCGGCACATACCTCGTGGCCTACACCAGCCGAATCTCTCTCAACGGGACATGGTATGTGAACCCCCTGGGGGAATCCCAGAAGAGGGCAATGGTCGCCTCGATGACAACAGTAAACGTCACGGGGCACCATGACAAACTAAGCCTGCCGTTCCTGAAAGAGCTGAGCATGGAGAACTTGAGGAACATTGAAATGCTGACGATCCATAGCGCCACCTCACACCTCCTCACCTGGGTCGTCGCCGTGATACTCTGCGTAAGCATATGGTGCTTACGCCGGCGATTCTACAACCGAGCTACCAACAACGACGCAACGGATTGTGAAGCAGCGGCACCAGAACCATCCATCAACAACCCACCTACAACCACCACCGGCCCCGAAGTAGCGCTGACGAGGCAACCACAACAAGCAAAAATTTGCTAGACATTGCCAAACCGACCCAGCTCTGAAAGCCCCGCTGGCCCGGCGCATCGGCCCACCCGGGACGACTAAGGAACGCCGACTCCACCGAAAAGAAAAAGAGCTGACAACGACCTCTGCCCACGTCGCCAACATACCCAGCCGTGGACCCGAGGTATCGTCAGTAAGCGCCGGGCGCACAACGAACAGAAGACACCACCAACCCAACCAGATACAACATGAACTCGACAACCATCATTTTTATATCCGACGACGAGTCTTGCGACTCCACACCAGGAGCAAAGACCTGGAGCGACGCCGAAACAGCGTCCGCGCAGGACACTGGAATATCCGACAGCGAGTCTTTCGACTCCACATCAGGAGCAAGGTCCGGGAGCGACGCCGAAACAGCGTCCGCTCAGGACACGGATCAAGAGGAAGACGCAACGCAACGCCCATCACGCTTCACGCGGGCCAACCTATGGTCGCCACCAACACCCTCATACTCACCGCAGCCGTGGGGATCCTTCGGAGAAGCGCCCCCCACCAGTGAGGACGAAGACTCCACCCCGTCAAGCCAACCATCGACCCACTATCGGCGGGACCCCCGACACCACCACGGGGTCTATCAGGACTTTAACTCTGAAGAGGAACCCTCCCCAGAGAGGGGGAGGAATCACCCTCAGAGAAGGAGGAGGAAGCCTCGTCAGAAGGAGAAACCGTCTTCATCCACCAACCGGTCATGGACACCCAGACCACCAGCTACGTCCATACCCCATGGGGGGTCCGGACTACGATGACCCACACGCGGGTCGTCGATAGCAAAAGGACGGTCAACAGGAAGGCAGCCGACGACGGAAACTTCGCCTCTAAGCGCCCCCGTCGCCACTAACACCCACCCGGAAGAAAGGGGGGGGTGTAACGAACCATGGTTCTACCCATGGTTCGTTGCAAACAACTCCACGGTAGGCAGCAAACTAAGATATGCAGAACAGAAGAACCATGGCTCTAGCCACGGTTCTTCACCAATATTGTGTGTCAGCACCCAGGAAATAAAAATACTTCTAAGCAACGCACGCAATTACGATCAGCGAAAACCACAGCACGAAATCCTCGGTCACCCACTTCTTGGCGATATTTCGCAACCACTCGGCCTCGAAACATCGACCCAAATTCAGATATCACCTTCGCGATGCGGAGGTAGCAAAAACCCAATTCCCAACTGCAGCCCGCACCTACTGCGATGCAGCCTCAGCTAAAAACACTCTCATCAAAACACACTGACCCACTAAGCAATTGTCAACGAAGCACCCAGCTTCGACCTAGTTACCACACCCTACAATTATTATCCAATAATCATAAGTTAGCAATTATTTCCGGGTGCCAGCTACATAAAAGGGCCAAGCACGGCCAAAGTCGGCACCCCAGTCCAACGGCTCCAAGGCCAAGTAACAAGATCCGCAAGTAATCCATCGTACACAAACCCACAAAGAATTAAGTAATAAAAATAATAAACACCAGCAAAACCGACAACCACGATTTTCTTGAAGTATTCTTCGTCAGCAACAAAACGCTCCCCCTGCGTCCTACCTCTCTTTCGGCCGCTCCGAACCTAAAAGTCACCTGCGATCTACAAATTGTCTTGCAGCGGACCCTGGACAGACTGAAGCATACCTAAGCCTGATATAGGACCTCACAACATACTAGAGGTATTTGTGCAAAAAATTGAAAGCTCGAGTAAAGACAAAATCATTAAAATCTCGTAGTTACTGTCTTGTGCTAAAATAAGTGCACCTCGCTTTCAATTCTTGGCACATCCATATGACATAGTAGAGCTAGATTGCATGTATTTAGTAGAGTTTGTACATATATTACATATATCACATATTCACATACATCATACCATCTTGGACGCAGAACATATACATATAATTTATAACTGCAATCACTGTCGCCCCTTTCCCCCTTTCTCGTTTTCGTTGCGCAAATATATAGTTGGGTCATTGGCCAAGCGCACGCATACCAACGTAGCAGCTGCAGCGGTGAATTTTCGTTCTCGCTTTTGCTCGTCACCGTTGCTGACCGTCGTTGTTGTTGGTGTTTTCTTGCGTTTGGCGCGTTTAAGTCAAACCGTTCGCCAAGCGACGCGCTACCCTGTAATCGCCAACACCGCTTGGACACACACACATGTGCATATGTTCACAGCTTCAGCGGTGAATTTTTCGTTTTCGCTTTCGCTTGTCACCGATGCTGTTTGTTGTTCTTGTGTGTTTTGTGTTGGCACGCCTGCGTAAACAGATCGCCAAGTGCCTCGATACCCTTTAATCGTCGGGTATATCGATTTTTCGCCTCATTTGGCATCGACACCCTAGGTCCATCTTAAACAGATCGCCAATTGCCTCGATACCCTTTAATCGTCGGGTATATCGATTGTTCGCCTCATTTGGCTTCAACACCCTAGGTCCGTATTAAACCGATCGCTAAGTGGTGCGATACCCTCTAGTCGCCGGGTATATTTCTTTCGACCTAATTTGGGTACACCTTCCTGTTTCGACACTTTGCGCCGCAGCAAATAATATTATCGTGAGAACAGCCCTGATTAGTGATTCACTTAAGTATCGAGAGTCAAGATGAATCCCAAATCAGATCATAAGCCTATTCTTGAAGAGCTAAAAAAGAAGCTCAGCTCCCGTGTCAGATTCCGCTGCAGTTGACAGAGCTCGAGTGCAGACTCGACGTACTGAAAGCAACTATAGCCAAGGCAAGCCAAGTTCAAGAATCAATCGAAGAAATAGATAGTGACGATGACTTTGGAGCCGAGTTGGAAGAACTATCGATTGTAACCAAGGCAAAGATAATGTCGCTTATCGACGCCTTGAAGACAGCCAGTGATACAATACCTTCAGTATCAGCTTCTGTAGCCCCAACTCGTGCTCGACTTCCGAAGTTAGCCCTGCCAAACTTCAGCGGAAAATATTCGGAATTCAAAGGCTTCATTACTTTATTTGAGACTCTTGTTCACAATGACGAAAGCATTCCAGTTATCGAAAAGTTTAACCATTTGCTTTCATGCCTCTCTGGTGAAGCGTTGGGAACGGTAAGGG